GCTGTGGTATGGGACTTGGGCGGGGTGTGTGGCCCTGGAGCCGGGGGCGGGGCCGGGCACCTGCTGTGGTCTGGGGACCTGGGCGGGGGCGTGGCCCGTTGCCGGGGGCGGGGCCGGGCGCCTGCTGCCCTGTCCAGGCAGTCTGCCCGGTCTCCCCAGGCCTTTCCCGGCCCAGGGCCCCCCGCAATGGGAGCGGCCGGCCAGTGTCCTAGCAACTGCACAGGGAAAACACCCCAGCCCAGACGCCCGGGCAGGCATACCGGGTGAACTATTAAACCAACGACTTCAGATGTCCCGGGGCTGGGCAGGAGAGGGGGTGGCAGGAGCCTGCTGGGGGCTGACACCCATCATCCCAGCGACTCAGGAGGCGGAGATCCGGAGGCTTGCAGTTCCAGGCCAGCCCGGTTAGGAAAAAATAAACATCCAGAGCATCATTTGCTCAAGGCCATCGCTCTACCACCCGAGCCACAGCGCCACTTCTGCTTTTCTGGTGGTTCACTGGAGATTGGAGTCTCACAGGGGACTTTACTGCCCTGGGCTGGCTTTGAACCGCGATCCTCCGGCTCTCAGCGTCCTGAGTGGCTGGGATGACAGACAGGCGGGAGGCCCCAGAGTCCAGCCAGTTTATTCTAGGGAAGTCCAGCCCCAGCCATGTCCCCTGCCTTCTGTCCTCAAAGACACGTTTCTGCTCAACAAGCATCCGGAAGGTGACAAGTCAATATTGAGTGATCCTGCACTTTCCTCCTTGCCCTTGGAAAAGGAGAGAGCCCAGGAGGCCCCGGGGCCCAGGACGCCACTGAAAACTGCAGGGGAAGACTCTGGGGTGGACACCTGGGGACGATCGATCGGGCCTCATCTCAACCTCCACACCCAGCACTGCAGCAGCCAACTGTAGTTCACAGTGCTCAAGAGCCGGACAGGACAGCGGTGAGGTGGAGCTACACTGCAGCTGGGCGCCCTCGGGTCAGCCACTCAGGGAGCTGAGGATCACGGTTCAAAGCCAGCCGGGGCAGGAAAGTCTGTGAGACTCTGATCTCCAATGAACTACTCAGAAAAAAGCCAGAAGTGGCGCTGTGGATCAAGTGGTAGAGGGTCAGCCTTGAACAACAAGAAGCTCAGGGCCGGCGCCAAGGCCCTGAGTTCGAGCCCCAGGACTGACCAACACACACACACACACACACACACACATACACACACACACAAAGGGTTTTTATTTTGGCCACGTGCTGGTGGCTCACATCTGTCATCCTAGCTATTCAGGAGGCTGAGATCTGAGGATCACGGTTCAAAGCCATCCCCAGGCAGGAAAGTCCATGAGACTCTTTATGATCCACCAGAAAACCATAAGTGGTGCCGTGGCTCACAGAGCTCAGGGACAGCGCCCAGGCCCCGAGTTCAAGACCCAGGTCAGTCAATAAAATATTTCCAAAAGAACGGTGAAAAAGACCCTGGCAGCCTTCCACCATCAACACTGTTCACGACCTCCAAGGACGAACCCAGAGCAGATCCATGTGTGACCACGCCCCCCCCCCCGTGTAACACGGCGGGAGCCTGGTGGCACTTTGTGGGGTGTACAGTGGGTACCCCAGGCCCTGCAGACAGCCTCTTGGCTGAACCCCACAATCGGAGTGAGCACAGACCAACAGAAGAGTGACTTGGGCAAACTTCTAGTGCGTTCCATCACCCAGGCCAACCAGGGTGATCGCCAGCTCCCTGTTCAGTTCAAAAAGCAGATCCACAGCCCGGGGCCCACGGATGGCCACGGGCAGCCACAGACATTGCTGGCCATCCTTGCTGCGTGCACAGCCGCCGCTCCCCGTACACTGATGATGGACCACGTATGACGCGCGCTTCACAGACTGTGTGCGCTACAGTGCACAGCACACGACCATGTGATACATCCCACAGCGCCGCCCAGGAACCAGAAACCGCACATCCACTGTGTGCAAACCCTGCATATATTATATATGTGTACATTATAATCACACACATTGTATACAACCCTTGAACCAGAAGCCTGGCATCTAAACCTTGTATATATTATATACATAATGTATACATCACATATATACGTAATACAACCAATATTGGCATATAAGTGTAATATATGTAATATATATGCAACATAGAACACGTAGCATGTAATATATACTGTCCAGCTGGACACCGGTGGCTCACCCCTGTCATTCTAGCTACTCAGGAGGCTGAGATCTGAGGATCACGGTTCAAAGCCAGCCTGGCTTAGGAAAGTCCGTGAGACTTTGATCTCCAAGGAACCACCAGAAAACTGGAAGTGGTGCTGTGGCTCAAGTGGTAGAGCGCTAGCCTGGAGCTGAGGAGCTGAGGGACAGCGCCCAGGTCTTGAGTTCAAGACCCAGGACCCACCCCAAGAAAAATATATATATACATATGTATATTATTATACACTTTACTACACACAATAGATAGAATATGTATAGTATGGCATATTCTGCAAATGTAGTAACATGTAACACACTATATAGCGTGTATTACGTATATATATACAAGGTAGACAGCTAGACTACGTGTTATTATATATGTACTAGTACGCATAGTGGGATAACACGCGATACACATACCACCTAACACATGCGATCAGTGGTGTACGTTGTGCAGATCGCAATGCCTAGCGATTCGATGTGCTCAGCACGTACAGTACGGGTGTAAGTGTGCATATGTGCTGGCGTTAATATATACTATCACTATCACACCTGCACGCACACGCTTCCGACCCAAGGTGGCAGGCTCCCACCGCAGGCCGGCCCTGC